AAATAAAAAACTGAAGAAATCAAATTGCAATGGAACCATTTATTTTTCTTTAGTGTTATTGGCAAAGACAATTCTTATTTACCTCTATAGCTAAAATAGAGAAAGTGCATTGTGAAATGACAACATATATTTTTGGCTAATAAGAATACTTCTTTATCTCAACCAATTGACAAAGACTTCTTTATCTCTTTGTCTTATAACTAAACTTTCTTATCATATAGATCTTGCAACAACTAAATACAACATTATCAAAACATTCATTATTCAATATTACTATTGTCAGTTATTTAGGAGTTAACTTTGTCTGAAATGATTTTTTTTGGTTATCATTCAATTTTATGTGGAAAAAAGAAAAAAAAAAGAAGCTAAGACCTACCATTGTTCTTTGTTAGTTATAATTTACCTCTTTGATTTTTTTTTGATAAGATTGTTTGTTTGAAAATTCAACAAATCAAAACAAAACTTCATATTACATGATTGATATTTTAGATTTTTCTTTGTTTCATTTTTCCTCCCTCATTAAATTAAGAAATTTGGGCGTTCTGTAATTTCATTTTCAGAAGCATGTGTTAAAAGTGGTTCCATGTGTTTCATGCTAATCGCCACAAAGAGAACTTTTACATAAACTATTGTAACCACATTAATGAAAATTATCCAAGCATTAACAGTATAATAGAACTCAAAAAAAAATCCTTCTAATATCCAGAATATAATAGTAAAGAAAGTTCTCAGGCTATTTCACAATCAACTTCAATCAAAATGTATGAGCCACACTGTAGACGAAATCCATGACATTAAAATTTGAAAAAAGAAAAGAAAAGAAAAGAAGGACATATGTGTGTGTATATATATATATATATATATATATATTAAATAAAAATAAAGGAAAATAAAACCTTTAGAGAACCACAAGTTTTATCATCTCTTAATCTAAATTTATAGCAAGCAATTCACAAAAAATAAAACTTATGTAAATTTAAGATGTCTCTAAAATTTTATAATCTCAAAAATAAAATAAAATCAAGATCAAAATTTGACAGTAACTGATTTCAAGTGTTTGATATGATCAAAGTATATTTTAGAAACAGCAAATTGAAAATAAAACAATAGTGGTGAAGAGAGTTTAATGTTGTGTCCCAACAAAGGCGAATTGAAATTCCATAAATTCCTAAGAGAATGGTTCCACAGGCCATGTACCAATGCCAGAGAGCCAAGTGGAACCCAGTTTACAAGGTCATAGTTATGCCAAGTGTCATCACAAATACATGACACGTGGCATCGCGATGGGAGAGAGGCAGAAGCAGAGAAACATGGGCTCTAAACTTTGGTGGTGAAGAGGAGGTTTGGTTGGGAAGGGGACCCTATTCCCGTGCAATTGCAATGCATGATAACCAACCAAGTCAATTGGTGAAGAATTCCTTTTTAAGGAGAATGCACCCCAAGTTTTGCTCTCTTCCATGTGTGTATTGGGGAGTTCCTTTTGCCAAAGTACCCAATTCATTTGTGCAAACATTTTTTATTTTCATTTTCATTTTTTTGAAAAGAATGTATGTGATTTTAATTTGCGTGGATAAGAATGTGAAGATTAAAGTATTTATAAAAGTATTTTAAAAAGGTGGGCAACAAGGAGTGCCTATGTATTGAGGGTTTTGACGTTTCAAGAGACTTTTCTTGTTGTGGCAGGCAACTTTTGATGAATTCTATGTTTACACTGCAGTGTTCTTTTGTTTGATGTTTGTGAATTTTACTGGGTTTTGTTGTAATGGAATTCATTTCATTTGTTTTTTTTTTTTGTTTTTACCTTTTTAATGGCTTCGGTTTGATGTGATGTATGATGATCTGTGCTTCTAAAATTTCCTCTACTTTTACTGTAAGTATCAAAAATTGATAAATAAGTCTTTGTTTTACAAGTGAGGTGTTTGAAAAGGATAAATTGTAAGAAAGTGATATTTCGTTAAATGAAATGAGAGTAGAGTCATGGAAGTAGATTTATTAAATATTTGTGAGGTTTAATATTACTTTACTAGTAACAACTGTTATACAAATATTAATAAATTAAACAAAAAAATTAGTAAGAAAATTTGAAAATCAGTATAATATACTATTAAATGAATTCAATAGCAAGTTGGTTGGAATAAAAAAATTCAATTCATTTCAAGTTATTTTTTTTTACATTCTCTAAATTTATTATTAGCTTTGAAAATACCATTATCATTGTTTTGGTTGTTGTTGTTGTTGTTGTTGTGTATATATATATATATATATATATGAATCCATACATACAGATTTTAAAAAATTGGTTTAATTTTTTATGTTAAACTTTTATAAGGAATAATCTTTTAAAAAATAACAGTATGTAATTAAAAAAATAAAAATTTACAAATTTCTATTCAAGTGCATATAAAAATTACGTCATTAAATTCACAAAATATCATACAATATATGTAATTAAAATATCATACAATATCTCATACAATATTAATTAATGACGTAATTTAAATAAACTGAAGATCTTATGCTCTTTTCATTAAATTTCTTGACAATCAAAATCACAGCCTTGAAAATTTTGTTGATCATAATATCTATATATTTATATTTATATTTATATATTTTCTAAAAAAAAAAAAAAACAAACAAATCAACAACTTAGACACTTCACAATGACCATTGACCAACAGTTCACTGAAACCATTCATATTCTGATAATTCACAATCATCTCTTAATATATTTTATTATGCAATCGTGACTAGAAATAAGACGAAAACACGCAAAACAACGATACAATAACTCAACTTTAAACTCTCATGATGAGTGTGAGTACAGTACGAATGTTTTTGTTCCTTCTATTTTCAAACTTAAGGCTGTTTTCGTACATTGTGGGTAACAAAATCAATGAACTGCAAACAACGAAGACCCTTTTGCACAAGTTCACAGATAGACACAGAAACGAACAGAGATGTGTGGAAAAAAAAAATATATATATATATATATATATATATATATTTATATATATTGAAATGTGTGTGTGTCTGTGCACAGAGTTGTTTTCACTTAAGAGTCACAGGGAAATTTTGCTTTTCCATCACCATGGAGCATGAAACCCACCAACTCCTCAAGCGAGTACTGGATCCCCATATCCAAGCTCTCGCCACCTCACTGCTCCACTGAGCTGGTAGTTAGGCAGAAATCTGTGAAGCTATGGCTTACAAGTCTGGAATAGAATGCCCTGCTGATCAGGAGGAGTTTCGATGTGGCAGCCCAGGGAGTTGCCACAGGAGCAGCATCCATGGATGGCGGCGTTGTAGGAGTGCGAGGTGGCTTGGTGCCGCCCTCGCTTCCTCTGCCAAGTTGCACTCTCACAACGGCCCACCAGTTTCCTGGCACTTCACAAACTTGTCGATGAAGTTCGGGCCGGTTTCCAAACCCTCCGACGAGACATGAGTAGTATCCAGTAAAGGTACCAACATCATTCTTGTGCAGTAGCCAGAGCTACTAAAAAATAAAACACCAATTAAGGTAGTTATGGGTGAGTGTGCGTGTTTGTTTGAGTGTGTGTGTGTAAGCGAGAGCACGAGCATGAGTTGATGGTAGAGGTTGTGGGTCCAGGATGCTAGAACAGGTCCAACTGTGCAAAGTATTGCGTGTTGCAAATTCCCCAGAACAGACTAAAATCACGTTTCAAACCCTCCTCAACTTTAAACAGCATGTTTTTATCCACAATGTCATCTATCAGTGCAAAGCGAAAGTGCAATTCAGAGAGGATAAAGTCGATGTTGTGGCGAAGAAAAAGGTCACGAAATTCCGGGTCAACAGTGGGGTAAATCATGCAAAAATCCTCATCGAAAGTTCAGCTGGCTGGTGCAATAGTAATCGGTTGTTACAATGTGGTTGCGATGCGGGTAGTAACTTGTAAGCCTCTTCATACCAACAGTAATGACACGTCACAATGTCTGGTAGTCGAAAATTGTACCAAGTGCGCACAGGTACTGCGGATCTTTTAACTCCGCTGTGCTGTAGATCAGGTTACAGCTTGGCTTATATGGAACTACCCAAGCTGCTTCGATTACACACTAGATCGTAGTAAACTACTTAAATGCTAGACAAGCATCTTGAAACATGCTCTTCGCGATGCCAAATATCGGCACTAGTAATTCCATAAATTTGTTTCCAGGCGTTGTTCCCTGTTTTCTTGATCTCTCAACTGTTCTCGCACAAACTGCCTGAAGCCCATGAAAGGCAGATTAAATCACATGGCTCTTCAAGTTTGTCCTCCTCCTTGTCAACCTCCAGGCAATGTTCTCACTGATCTACTCAAGAGAACATCCAAAAAGTATCTTATGTTTGTTTGCTGCTTCAAAAGATCTCATGGACAGACACTTGGCACAGCGAAAATTTTGTTATCATTCTAATTTCTCATCTTCGATCGGGAGACTGCTGCAGCGGATAAATCCCCACCGACCCTTTCCGTGGGGGCACTGTTCTGCCTCATCACTGTGGTATAGTAGGCAGACGCGGAGGATCGGATTTTACGGAATTGCATGGGCGAGTTCCGTGGCAAGCATACGAAACATTGCTCACCACAATCCAGTTAGAAATTGAAGCAGCCAGGGTGGTTCCATCGCTGTGCTGGCACTTGACCTACCACACTGCGGGGTTGGAAGATGGGCTCTAGATCGCACAGACTTTTCCCCGTGGAGAACTTTGTCTTGGACCGGGTCCATATCGATAACTTGCACAACAGCCCACAAAGGTAAAAAGTGGTTGCCATCACAGGTGGATAGGCAACACGAGGATGCTGAAGCATCGTTGAAGCAGTGGCAAGTTTAGCCACACCTCTACTGCAACTCGGTAGCACCTGTAGGTTACCCTGGAGTGGGGTTCAGGCGCGAGTTTCTATCTGCTTTGGCCACTTGGCAGCCCGCAAAAACGCAACATCGTGTCTCTCCAACACCAGGATTGATTCGAAGATGCCGCAACTGCGAGAATAAGTTCACTCCTGGCCGCCTCAATTTCAAAGGTCGATCATCCGCAAGTAGTTCTGGTGGGAGGCTTCGCGTTGAGGTCGAACTGACGAGCTCGAGTGCATCACGATGGCGAACATGAAGATTTTGACGGTGGTGTTGCTGGGTTTCATGAGTTCTGCTGCCATATTCAATTCAGGTGTGCATGACTCCGTTAAACCTGGTCACTGATAACACAACATTGATGTTTCTTGTAACACACCATTTGAACCAGTTCCATCGTTCCATGTCGTGATGTCAGATTTATGAAGGAATTTGTGAATTATCAACCGTACCTTCTTCCACGGTTGATCATTCATCATGGTCAGCTTTGAGTTTGGCTCCATGATGTGTGGCTTGTGCGATCAGCTGTCTTGTACATTGTTATCAAATTGGAATTCCATGCCTCTCTCATGATTTCATTACATCTGAATTTGATTCTTAGGTAATGAACTTTATGATTAAGGTCAGGGGTGAAGCAGTCCAAATTCAAGCCCGAATTCAAGTCACGTTGAGCGGGAATTTGTCTCAGAACTGTCGTCAAGCAGTCTTGTTGGTCCGCTTACACAAAAGCTGAATAGGATGTTTATTCTTGAAAAATTAGAGTCTACGACTGAACCTGTATTGCAAATCATGCAATCTGTGATCAAAACTTGAATCAGTTCAGTTAAGATCCTGTGAAGCTAGTAACAGAGTGAACATAGCAGTACTTGAATGAGAATCGTGTCAACATTTGGATTGTTGTATTTCATAATTTATGTACGATATAAAAGCCTCTGGACTCAAGCTTATTTGTTTGTTTTTTTTTTCTGGTTGGATTCCATTGCAGTGGATGCGCAGCGGACAACTCTGCTATTTGCATTTGGAGATTCATATGCCGACGTAGGAAACAAGCCCAAGAGTGGACCCAACGTCGGTAAAGGCTGGGTATACCCCTACGGCATTACATGGCCACAGCCAAACCCTGCAGGTCGCTTTTCTGACGGCAAGACCTCTACGGATTGGATTGGTAAGCCTTCTCAAAACCACCTTGCAATTCTCCTCTCTAAAATCTACTGAAAAATTGAACATTGTTTGTGAGCTACAAGCTGATGCAAATGGTCGAAAACATACGCATGTCTTGACCATAAAGCGTAACTATTATAAGCATGGACTAGAGTTCTACACTTATCTCGATGACGAGGCTTAGATGCTTGGAAATTCGAGTTCTCAGGTAGAAAAGCCGAGATTTACCCAGTTTATTCACTATAGTTCTCCACACTTTTGCGAACATTTGATAGTGTGTTCAGCTTAAATTAAGTGTTGCGACCATGGGACTTGAAAATTCTCACACACATGATATGCACTGGTCTTGAATTGACTTTCCATTACAGCCTTTTAGGCATTACCCGATGAAGATCGAGTTAACTTATTCCAACAAGATTTCATTGAAATGGTTTCATAGCAACAGCAGACACCGAAGCTCGGGGTTCGAAAGACGTGTTCCGACACCAAACATGACATCCTTTTGTAACAGTGGCTGATAGGTCTCTGTGCTGTCGAGGACGGGTTACTTCATGTCCTGGAACTCAGAAACAGTGAATCCTCTGTTCAAGGAGAGGTTGTAAGGTGTATCTTGTTTACTTGTGTGTTGGATTCAAATTATCCGGCCAATTTGTAATCCTGTTTTCCTGGATGTGCAGCGGACCTGGTCGGACTCCCTGTCTACCCTCCCCCTTATCTGTATTCTGCAGGGGCAGACACTTCCTCGGGAGTGAATTTTGCAGTCGGAGGTTCCTGCGTCACTTATGGAAATGGAGATGTTACTTTGGGCTCACAGGTTGACAATTTTGAGCTGTTCCTTCGCACTGATCCATACTCCAAGGATGCTCTTGCGAACTCTCTGACGTTTGTGTCCGTGGTTGGAAATGACTACTTGAATTTCAAGGGGACGACTTCCGTGGTGAGTTTACAACTCAGTGTGTCTAACTTTCTATCTTCGTCTTTGATTCTTGCTCTTCTCAAGAGCAGGAGGTATTCTAAATCTTAATTGTTACTAATGCTCGGAATTGTGCTACATAACAGGAATTGTTTGTGTTCATTGAGAGAGTAGTTGCGGGAATTCAAGCTAACTTGCAACGTCTTTACGACCTCGGCCTTCGCAATGTCATGGTGGCCAACATGTTCGAGTCCGATTGCCTTCCAATCTTCACCAAGAAGAACGGGTACACTGCATGCACGGGCGAGACAGCTCCTTTCGTGCAGATCCACAACGCCTTCCTTCTCGGTGCGGTTCGAAGTATCAACGCTCTGAATCCTGGCGCACGGTTCGTCGTCTTGGACCAATTTTCTGCATTCAACCAATTGATTGCAACTGCAGACGAGCACGGCTTTACCGATGGATTGAAACCATGCTGCACGGGAACGACGAACTCGACGTACTGCGGTGATGTCGATGCGTCTGGAAACTGGCTGTACACTGTGTGCAAGAAGAGAGGGCGGGCCATTTTCTGGGATGATTTGCACCCTACCATGTGGGCATGGCACTACCTTATCGAGCTCTTCGCCAGCCAACCTAACTACGTCTTGTTGGCTGATGCCCCCACTTTGAGGCAGTGGCTGCAGATCAACGATGCTTCCCAAGAGCCCATCGCCGCTCCAATGCCCCAACCTGGTAAGCCGTTACCCTCATTCCAGCATACGGCTAAGATATACAAACCCCTTTCCTTGGACATCTGTGTGTTCCCAAGTTCACGGTGATTTAAGCCCTTAACGTCATGGATTTTTGCAGATTTGACTCGTGCCTCCGGACAAATTCAAGCAGCGTTCGATTGCTTGTTGGACAAGCGGAATTATTCCGAATCCCTCGGTCTGCTCCAGTCGTTCAACCTGGAAGTCCTTTTGGCGCTATATCCAAGTCAGATCGTCACCGTCTTCCTTCCAAGCAACGGGGCATTCAAAGCCACCGACAAGGCGTTCATCGACAGGGTATTCGCAGAAAACAAGGTCAACGAGGTCGGTGCCTACCACGTCGCCGAAGGTTACTTCGACTTAAACTTGATTTCCACAATGCGGCCTTCATACGTCACTTCAGTAACAGGAGAACAAATCCCACTCACCTACAACGATCAAGGAATTTTCGTCGGAGTAAACTCGCAGGCCAAAGTTATTGACCCCAACTTGTGCGTACTCCCTAACCATATGGTGATTCACGGCATCGACCATGTCCTCATGCCCTACAACGTCTAAACAAAAAAACACCCACGTATGTTAACCACCTTCGAATCTGGATCGAAAGAGGAGCATAGTTGTTACGAAGTGTCTGGGTTGGGGTAAAGTGTAACTGGGACAGGGATTGCGGTGCGACGCTCTCTGATTTGTGTCAAGGTTGTTCGTGACCACTGCTACTAGTCAAGAGGGCAGGTGAAAAGCAGAATAAGTGTCAGCTTTCCAGAATGTGTATAGGCGAGTGTAATAGTTACCGCGGTTACTTCTCCGACGCCCCTTGCGACAGTATTTGTGGATTGATGACGGAGCTTTGCCGAGGGTAGATTTGTTCACGCTAGACACAGAAGAATAAGGGGAATGCCTCCGGCAGTTGTAATTTGTCATTCTGTACCCTTTTTGTAAATGAAACTGAGCTCCGATGCTCATTGTACGTCCCGTTTTCTGTGCCCCAATTGCTGTTCCCGCGCTCTCTCTTTCTCTTGATGAAATGCCTCACTCTACCACTTCAACTTAGGACGTGATCCAAACGGCGCACAGTTGCCCGCTGGAAAACTCCCGTGACAAAGTATCCCACCACGTTTGTCTTCATCGCATTTACGAACGGCAACTCTTAAAACCCGAAAACCCTAAAACTTCAATCTTGATACACCCACTTTCGCTGATTGGGAAGATTAATTTCTGGGAACCATTAGATCTACCTCACTTTTTGCTTAAATCCACCTCACCCGCCATTTACACGAGCATTTACATGAGCAAAACATATGCAATGCATTTACACAGGAAAAAGCGGTCCACTGGTACTTCAAAGGTTTATTCATTGTTTATCAAAAGTATACGGCAAAGGATTAGTTGGATACGGAAAAGAAGGATTAAAAGAATGAATGGATGGGAGCCTCGGTGGAAGTGGTGGAAGTGCTGGTAGAAGTGGTGAAACTGATAGAGGTGCTGGTAGTGGTGCTGGCAGAGCCGCTTCCATAGGCGCAGAAGAGAATCCATCATTGCTGCGGCAAGTTCGGGAGTTATGGCCGTACTGATAGCATCTTGTACATCTCCGTCGCGCTCGCGTGGGTGGCTCAAGCTGCCGCTGTACATGCTCAAACTCCGATGGATTTCGGCTAGTTGATGCAGTTGAGCCAGAGGGGCGACCTCTTCCTTGGATTCGGATTGGATTATGTACTGCGGAGGTGGATGGTGACTGCATGGCGAAGGCTAGTTCAAACATGATTCTTTTCCGGTGGGGTGCTGCACATTGTACGTTGCCTGAATATTACAAAGTAGTTCTGAAAAGGTTGGAGATTTGGACACAGCAACAACGCCCCGTGATGGTTGCTGAAGCCACCAATGCGAATCAAAGTCGGATATGGAAAGCACAGCATTTCCGGCTGCCAGTACTTGAAATCTGTGCACGCAAGGATATCCGAAGTTGGAAGTGAGCATTCCACGGCAGACATCCAAAGTTCCATTCCGTGAGAGTTCGTATTCCTTGTGTGCTGACTTGAGCACATGCACGGAGATTTTTCCCATTGTAGGCGCAAAGACACTGCCATAACCCAGATCAGCTCTACTTCGGTCATAGGCAACTTGTTGACGAATTGCAGCCAGTTGATCGCTGCAGGCCTGCTCAATGGTTGTGTGGACAACAAGGAGATTTCCTGTCGAAACCTCGATCCATCTTTTCAGAACTGCATGAGCTCCCTCTACCCGAGATGATGATATATGGCCGTAATGTCTCACTCCATCCAACCAAGCCGAAACAAATTTCTCTTTGTGAAGAAGCCAAGTGGAAGCCAGGTAGTTCATTGTGCTGCTGGGGAGGTTGTTGTTCATCGAATCAATCTGCTCATAGTATGTTGATTCCGTCGTGGAGTGCATCAACAAATTCCAATCCCGCACAAAGTCCCTCCAGACTTCCACAGATCGAAAGGTTGTGCGTTGCTTGGCGAGGATGTTCTGGTTGATGTGCTAAAGATATAGAACGTTGCTGCAAGTTGAGGGGAATGTTGTCGATATGGCTGTCATGAGAGTCAACTCGCGATCCGTCACGAAAACGTGGTTGTTGCCGAGTCCAAAACCGCTAAACGCGTCCAAAAGCTTGGATATGGCCCACGTATAGTCGCTTGTTGTTTCCCTTCGGAGAAAGCAGTGGAACAAAGTAAATGTTTGATATGTCGAAGTGACTCCCACGCAGTCAAGCAGAGACATGTCAAATTGATTTGTTTTATATGTTGCATCAAGCAGCCAGATCTTGCAGGAGCTGTATTCACATATCTGCTTTGATGTGCTAGGCAAAATAAAGAGGTGCGTGAGGTTTTGTTCAGCATCTCGTTCAACGTCATGCACAGTGTCACTTAGCGCGAGAGTCCAGCAGAGTTGCCAAAGGTGACCTCCCATTCAGCAGCTGAGCCCTTTCTGCATTCCGAATATTGTAGACGTCTTGCGACGTAGCCAAGCAATTGGGGTTTTGTTGACGCAGGGATGTCAGGATCCTGCGAGGTTGGACTCCAGTTTGGCTCAAGGCCAACACAGACTCTCGCTCTGATGAAGCCATTGAACATGGGCTGAAGAATCGAAAGAAGGGTGATTGTGCTCACTCTCGTTGACCTCAACATGCCAAGTTTCAGCGCCACTTACCTCTTTCCGGAATATCGTCACTTGAAAGTGGCAATCAGTCTTGCTTGTGCTTGTCTGTCGCTTCTTTTGCTCCTGCAGTACATGCTTGCCGCCCATCACACAATGAAAGGACTGATGTTTAATTAAACCAGTCGCTTTAATTCCTACCTTCCGTGTGCGCTGAATGGATACCGCGTAACCTTGCGCATGCACAAGCTCATGGTTATGCAGAGCTTCCTGAGCGGCTTCCAAGGAAGTGTAGCTAAGTTCGGGAGGTGGAGCAAGCATTTCGAAAGAGAGAGAGCGAGAAGAAAGCAAGAGCAAGATTGAGCTGATTGAATGAGCCGACAAGTTTCCGAGGAAAGTGAAGTGTAGAGACACGAGAAAAGCAAAAAGAAAGTACGCGATTATGAATTAAGATTTGGACTACTTCTGCTCGTGTAAATGCTCGTGTAAATGACGGATGAGGTAGATTTAAGCAAATAGTGAGGTAGATCTAATGGCTCCATTTCTTTTTTATTTATTTTCCTTGACGATTTGTGTCCTCCCAAAAGAGTATAAATGAATGATTTTTTTCTTCATTGTAGCATTCGTCACAATCTGTTAAATGGGCTCTTCTTCTCCTTCGATGTCTTAAAATGTTGGATACCTTTTTAGATTTAAATTCTAAAAGCCGTTTGACTGAGTATTGAGTTTTTGTCTTTTGTTGTGACATTGTTAACTTTTTAAAAAAAGTGAGTTTTTGAGGATTCTATTTATTTATTTATTTGTGGTATTTTAAATTTCTGATATTGTTGTCATTACGCTCCATGCAACTATTATGCAAGATACAGTCTTCCCCCTGGTGCTTAATATTAAACAAAGCATACTGTAGTAAAAAGAAACTGGATGCCTGAGAATGAATGTGTGTCGAATCAAATAGATGAATGAGGACGATGGTCGAGCGGTGTTAGGTTCTACCCCTTATGACCACGGTCCACTGAACTGGACCAGCACTAAATCACTTGGTTTTGGGCTTTAGGGTTTCGGAAAGCGTGCTAGAGGCCAATTACATTTCGAGTGGAGGGAATCATCGGAGCGTGGGATTGATTGTATGGGCAGAGGATTTTGCGATATGTCAGGTTTTATGATCCAATGAGCCGTTTGGTAGTTGTTCAGTTTTGCAACGAGTGATTGTTTGGCTCCATAGTTTTGTGAAGCCTCCTTTGTTTCTTTGGCTCAGCGGAGCTTATTCAGCTACCTAATTCAGTGTAATTGAATGGAATTGCGGGGGTTTGAGAAACTCTTGATTAATTTGGAGTGTTTACGTTCATGTCTGTGATTTTCGACAGCTGCATTTTTTCTAGTTTCGAATTGGAAGCAGAAAATGGACGCTTTTCATCAGTTGTAAAAGCAGTTTGTTTTTCGAGGACTCGCTATTGATCCAAGTAGCGATTTTCCTTTGAAAGAAACTGTTATATATAGGTAGGGATAGTGTGGCAGCTTAAGAGCCTCGGGTGTGGCCGTAGTGCTCGGATATGCTCCAAACTGTGACTACATGCAAGCGAATCAGGGGTTGATCTTGTACTAATTAATTTTGTCAATTGCAGGATGCGGAGGAATGCGACAGGGTTTAGGGTGGATCTCAGAGTGCGGCGTGAAATTATCGCATTGATTCTCGAAGAGCAAGTTGATCAATCTGGATAAATTTACATTACATTGTAGATAAAACGATGGTCTTTCTGCATACTGCTGTTGCCCAATATCAATTTGAACCAATCCATGTAGCAGCCTCCCGCATTGTTGACACAAACACCACTCACGGTTTCAGTGCTGTTACACTGTGTCGGGGCCGTTTTATCATGGCAGCCACTGGTAAGTTAGCTATTAGTCATGGAGGAGTTGAGGCCGAGGTGGAGGCCCAGATAGCTGCAGACCTGAATATTACTTGGGAGACTCCTTCGACTACCCCGTGTCCAGACGACTATATCATCATGAATGGTACTCTCTCTCTCTCTCTCTCTCTCTCTCTGCCTTGGTTCCGATTTGTCTGTACTCCTCCTCTGAAAGTGTTCTGTCATAGCGGCAAGGCTTCTTGCGTTGGTTAAGTGGAGTACGTTCAGGTCTTTATCATTAATCTTTTTAAAATTATGCAATCATATCCTTCATGTTTCGAACCTTCTAAAATTGCGGAAGGATTAGAACACACTCTTTCTATGATCTCGTGATTGACAAGACTATGTGAAAAAGTGATAGAGACACGAGCGCATTCATGTGGTCACAGGAACTCGGATGGTGCGCCCCTACTTCTTTGAATTCCTTGCTCACGTAAGTTTCTAACCTACAGTATCTCTCCTCAATAATGAGTTACAAACGTGTGGGTTGATTGTTATTGAGAGGTAAACTTTTGGATTCTCATTTTGCGGGAGCTTTTTGATTGTTCCTCATTTTAATTTGGTATAACAATGATAACGTCAAGGCAAATGAGCTAGCTTAGTATTCTAAAACATTTCTGAGACGCTCCTGGTTGGTCGCAGGTCAAGAAGCGATGGGAGGGAAAAACTGTAGTGGATCTATTTGCACAAGAGTTCCGTCAGCGTCCCCGTGAATACTATGTACTGCATCTTCGTACCCATTTCTCCTGTGAACGTTTGCTATTTTTGCTTTGATTGTTAATCCAGGATTGATTTAGGACACTTACATCACTGGTTGGGTTTTTTTACGTTTAAATTCAAGTAAAACTTTCTTTGAGTTGTATTTAAAGGGACTTGACTGTCTCGATCTTCTTCACATTTATAATTGTGGATTTCGTTGGACGTAATATATAGGTTTTTTAATCTTTCGGTAGTTGCTAAGTTATTCAAAGGTAATCTGATCTGTTGATTTTTTTAATTTTATATATCCAGCTATTGGCACTGTGTAGGAGGAAGCAGTCAAACGAGGCCGCATTCGAGTGGAAGGAAAGGTGGTGGCTCCTTCGTATGTGGTTCGTGATTCGCAAACAATGAGCCACTTTGTCCACAGGTTGATAAATTTTTCCTTCGTTTTTTGTCGACGATGTCAGTAATGGGCACTCAGATTCATGAATTCCCGGAGCTCTGCATTCCGTGTGTGAAGGGCACTCAGTACTTTCTATTACCGTCAATTGCTTCTTTTGGTTTTCCAGGTATCTATGAGTGATATTTTTCAATTTGGCAGGCATGAACCACCTGTATTAGCCGGACGCGTAATTGTGCTTGAAGAAGGACCAGACATCATTGTTGTCTCCAAACCGGCTACAGTTCCTGTACGAGTTATTGATCGTCTCTTCAGTTCAACTCGTCCACGTAGTCATGCTTGGAATGCATCGCACAGGATTGATATGATCTGGTAAAATCTGCAGGGATGGACTCTACATGAAAAGGAACCATTACAATTAGCCAAGGAAGTTTCATGGACGATTGGTTGAAGGAAATTCACCTTTGGTTAATCATCGCTGAAATAAATTCTCATTCCGAATTTTTGAAGCACCTTCTATTGAGCAACAGAGATCTCAAACTCGATATGTACCATCTGGTGTTTCCTTCTGTGCAGGTGCATCCTTGTGGTCAGTATCGCAAGAATTCGGTGATCAGCATTTTGGAGGCTGAACATAAGACCGGTCCCCTCTTTCGTATCCTCGTAGAATTTCACAGCATTAGGTCACCTGTACCATAACCTGTGTAACCAATTAATAGGTTGTGTCACCATCGCGTGATATATTATCCTGTGTTTCTCCAGAACCTGTGATATTTCTGTTTGTAGTTTAATATCTTTAGCAAAGCCGAAATGAAGCTCCTTTACTATTGGAAATTAAATAACAGCTGTGCACCGCTTGGATCGGTTAGTTTCAGGACTTCTCATCTTAGCACGGAATTCTCGTACAGCAGATTTTTTTCGGCAAGAGGTATGACCACATCTTTCCGTAATTTTATGTTAGTTGTCACTTATTTTATTCCGTCACATGGTTGCATTTGCTTCTCTCCAAGACTCATGTTGTGTTTTCTTTGTTCCCTTAAGTTTGTAAACCTATTTCTTCATCACGTCATGCAAGGATGTTTGAAATTGGCAGATTGAAGCTGGAGTTGTTCAGAAGCAATATGTGGCTAAGGTGAAGGGCGTTTTCCCAGCAGAGGAGGTACATTGTATTCTGTAATTGTAGTCCTTCTACTTTGACGAGCAACCTTGCTGTTTATGGGTTGGAAGATCATGAATGTCCTACAGAGGCAAGAAATCGTTTCATATCTAAGTACCTTGATGATGTGTTTGTTGCACAGGTGGAGCTGAATGCTGCAGTGATCTATGATCCTCGTGAAGGCAGAAGTTCTGTGGAGGTACAAAACAACCTTGAAGTGTTTGTAAACATTATTAGTCTTGTTATCTTGATCTTTAAAGCAATGCTATGCGATTTTTACTCGATTCTTCCTTCACTCTCTCAACTTGTGTAGATTTTTGGTCGAACCAATACTACAGTTTTTACTGCCAAATGACATGAGCGTTTATCAGGAAATCTTTGAATACTGCCTGAATAACTTTCAGCACATTAAACGAGACATCTTGGATGTTGATTTCCAATATGTTTGTATATAGTTTGTCGTGTATCTTTCGAATTGTATCATAGATTTAGATTTGTCAAGTTTTAGTCCATTCCGAATTCTGCATTTTTACTTTGTACGCTGTAATTGGATCGCCAGGTTCGAGCCCGTCCTGCAAAAGAGATCGCAGTTGAGATTGAATCAACTCTTAAAGGAGCTTCAAAAAGGACCCCAGAAAGTGATGCTAAAAGCAAGGAATCATGTACAAAATTTCGGAGGTTGAGTACCGATGGTGTTGACAGTATCGTACAGTGCATGCCCTTAACAGGTCGCACACACCAGGTGACATTCATTCGTTACTTGCAGTACTTTAAGTCCATGTGTTCAAGATGATGGTGCCAAGTTTCTCACTTATGAAAACTAAGTCAACATGCAGCATACTCTCCAATCAATTCTTGAGAGTAAAAAATAATTAGTCTCATAATTAATAATAGTGCTTTCTTCTGCAGATTAGGGTACACTTACAATATTTGGGCTTTCCAATAGCAAATGATGATCTCTACCTGCACTCCAACGTCACCAAGCGTTCCAAGGCAAATACGACAGCAGACAGAGCTGCTAAAATTCCGGAGGTTCCAGAAACCATATCAGAAGTTAAAGACAGCTCCATTGCTGTTCTTTCTACTGTTTCTGTAGACGTGAATTACAGCGATGAGAGATTAGATTCAAGCAATGTGACTGCTCCGAGTGTTGCTGTCACAAACACCAAACAGGGTGATAATACTCGTGAGGCAGAACGAGAGAAACTTCAGGAGCATAGCAAGAATGCTGAAATTATCGACCGTCGATCAAGCGAGGATGCGGAAAACGCGTGCTCCAATGGTGGTGATCTATTAGAGCCAGGTGTATCACTGTCAATAGAAGCTAATGAAGTTCCTGAACTGCAAAAGGAGCGTTCCCAATTTGTTTCTAAGAGTATAAATCCAAACTTCATGGTCGATCCTCTGTGTACCCACTGCCCCAACATGGCACCTACAGGGTGCGTACTATCTTTGACCTGTATTTCTGGATGGGCTACATTTTTAAGAGTTTGCAAGTCTTCATATCGATTTTCATCTCAACCACCTGAATAGGCTCGAATATTGGCTGCTTGATGAGCTTAGACATGAACTTAGTGTGTAATTTGAGATCTTGTCATGATGCTATTCATTCGTAAATTACCTATGTTTGAGTGCTTTTTGAACAATTATTGTGGGGTCAGAGAGGCTGAAAAGTAAGTGGGGGTTGCAGGTATACTGGTGACGACGAAGGACTGTGGTTGCACTGCATCCGCTACTCAGGCAGCAATTGGACCTATGAATGTCCTCTACCCGAATGGGCTCTGTGATAAGGGCTCAGTTTTCTATTATAGGAAGCGCCAAGAATATTCACTCTTAGATATTATGAAATTTGTTCCATGGTGGGAGCAGGACTCTCAACTAGAAGAATTTTGTAGATAAAACCCTTCCATCCAGAATCTGATTAACCTCTTTCATCAAGGTTATAACTGTCCCATTCTAGTTTTTATTTGCTTAATGTGTAAAGTATTCTGCATTTAATTAGTTACATTCCAATTCTAAACTCTGCCGTCTCTTAATATAAATCCAGATGTGCAGTTCAACCTTGATTAGGTGAAATAAATCTGAAGCAAACAGGGAATTCAAACTATGAGGTTTAAATGGCTTTAAAGTGTATTAAGTGTGCAGTGTGATTCAGGTATTGCTACAGTTTGAAATAGACCAATACCTATAGTGCCTTCAATTGTGTTGAGAGCATTAAATACAGTTTGAAATTGACCAATACCTATAGTCCCTTCAATAATGTTGAGAGCATTAAATGTAGCCTGCGCTCTCCATGCTATTTACTGTAGTCTATAGTAAATACCATAGCTATAGTGTTTGGAATGTAGTGGGGAGAAACTATTAATCTTCCCTCCTTTCTCTTTGTATAAGTGAGATAACCATATCAATAAAACTTTTTCCTATGCATATGTGTGCATTTTATATGTGTATACACATTACTTCTAGCTACTCTTGTTTCACTTTCTAAAACATTCTTAACATGTTATCATCATGATTGTTCTTATGCACTAGTCTTGGTTCATAAAAATATATGTACACTTTATCCTTCGTTTTCTCCTCAATTTTTTTTCCTAACCTTATGTTGTTATTATTGTTATGTTGTGTTGTTGATGTTGTTGCTATTATTGTGCTATTGTATTGTTACCAAATTGCTACACCCTGTTGCATCTTGCCACCGATTGTCGCACTCTATCGTTGTCTGCAACATCTTGCCACCAACTACCGCACCCTACTGTCGAGTTGCAATGCCATGCCATAGTCCATCGCAAATCCTTATTTTTGTAGACAAAAAAAAAAAAAAAAAAAAAAAAAATCAAATTTTCAACACTTTTAATTTCAAGTTTCAACTTTATCATTTTATTTGGCTTTACATTTTAAGGTGCATTTTATTCAACCTTTTCTACTTGATCTTGTATTTTTATTCATAGATTTATTTATAATGAGTGCTTCAACATCCTCAACTACCTCTACTATGTTTCTAACTATCACCACTACATCCCAACATTTTCAAGCTCTTCTATTTCCACCATTGGCAGCTGATGGAAACAATTATCTATTATAAGAAAAAATGACAAAAGCAAATTTATTTGCAAAACAACGCTCGGATGCAATTCTATTTGAAGAATCTCTTACTATGAGTACTTCAATTCCTCTTGCTATCTGTTGGAAAGCACTTCTTTTCTTTTGTTGTCATCTTGTACCTACATTGTAATATCAATATTTAAAAATGTAAGATCTAGCCAAGCTTTGAGAGAATCTTAAATTTGGATTTGATCATCAAAATCCATTTTCCTTCCATATACACATCATGATTGGATACATTTATATGTCTTGGAATTTCCAAATTTAAATGCTTTCAACAATGAAATGTATCATATTATCTCAGAACTACAGTTATGTAGACAAGACATCTCTGAAGAAGAAATGATTGAAAAAAATCTCTCTATGTTTCTTCCTGCATCTACTATGCTTGCACAACAATATAAGAACATGAAATTTTAAAGACATCGTAATCTCGTATCCTATCTACTTCTTGCAGAAAAACAAAATAAGCTACTCTTGCAAAATAGAAAAGCTTGTCCTATTGGAACTACTCTTTTATAATCTCATATACTTAATATTTCAAATTCTAAGAAAAAATTATATAAACATAGAAAAAGTACTCACAAATACCAACTCAGTCATGGTTGTTACCATTTCTGCCTACATGGAAAGAATAAATATCTTACAATTAATTATAGTAGAAAACAAAAATCATAGATGCATTCTTGCCATAAATGTGGAATGATTGGACATTTGGCAAATGTATGCCATATTTCAAAATACTTTTTTAAAATATTCTAAAAAAATAAGAAACTTTGAGTTGCAGCTTATGAAGTTCATACCATGGATGTATCTATGGACTCAATTGGTGTTGATAATTTAGAAACTTATATGAATGACAAAACCTCTAATAATGAGTCAAATGATGCGCTCATTGATTCTACAACATCATATACTATCTTGCAAGGTAGATGATTTTTTTATTGAAAAATCTTCAACCTGATAAACTAGAAATTTGATGACTATGGTTGAAACAAATTCGTTTTGTTTCCAAGAGGGAATAAGAATGGTAAAATTACCTACAGACTCTATCATAAAATGTAAACATGCAGTATTTGCATTTTCAACATCTTGGAGTCTGATTAGGTACCAAAATGTGTGAGCTAATGGTTATCAATTTTCAATCACAATTCTATATAGGTGGGAGGTTTTGGCCCTTGAACAGAATCATAAAGTTGTAAATAAAGCCTTTGCTACGACAAATCGTTTATACCAAATTGCAATTCAACCTCCTTTTATATTTAATTTTACATCATTTATCTTAGAGAGTTGCGTTCTTTTTTGCCATGGAAAATTGAGACGCCTAATATCTACATTATTTTGGTAGATAATTCAATCTATAACTAAACATAATTTAAAACTTTCAAATGTAGATTCTAAAGAATTATGTCATGCATGTGTACAAGGCAAGATAATTGCTTGGCCTTTAATTTGAAAATTTCCATAAGAATTACCACTAATGCTTGAAAGGTTGCATGGTGATATTTGTGGTCCTATTAATCCAATATTTTGACTATTTTGTTATTTTTTGGTCCTTATTGATGCATCAGGCAAAGAATTATATATTTTATTATTATTAACTCAAAACATGGTATTAGCCAATCTTATATCTATGCTTATTTATTTCCAAGCATAATTTCTTGATTATTGTATCAAAACATTGCATATGGACAATGCAAAAGAATTTCCATCAAAGTCTTCTAAAGACTATTGTACTAAAATACGAATTGAGTTGACATATTATGTTCCATATGAACATGCTCAAAATAAACTTGCAGAATCATTTATAAAGCATAGACAACTCATTACCTAGCTACTACTTCTTTAGACAAATTTACTTACATCTATGTGGGATCATGCAATTTTGCATGCTGCAACATTAATATGCCTTTGTCCTTCTTTTCTTGAAATTATAACACCACAAGAGTTCATTTCAGTTTGTGTTTCAAATATATTTCACCTATGGGTGTTAAATTGCCATACTTGGATTCCAATATCAAAACCTTAATGACATACCTTTGGAGCTCATCGACAAGAAGGCATATATGTTAATTTTGATTCATCAAGCATTATTCATATACTTGATCTATCAAGTGGTACATTATTATGTACACATTTTCAAAATTGTTGTTTTGAAGATAATATATTTCCATCTCTTTGAGGAGGAATATTTAATCAATAAAGAAATACAACACTTGTATTTGGAGTACCAAAAACATCTACAATGAATCATGATCTTAGAACATCTTTAGCTGAAACTGAAGTTGTAAAGATTTTGTATCTAAAATAGATTGCAAATAAAACACCTGATGCTATCAATGATGTGCTTCAAATTACAAGAGTTCGAATTAATGAAGATCAGAATGAACTTGCTAAAATTACATTACTACTAATTAATATACCTTTACTTAAAACATCAAAAATTAAAAGGACTCATGGACCAAATAAGCAACCACAAAAAAAGAAAGCTATAATATGTGGTAATTCTGCTATTATTTTGTAGAAGTTCCTACTAAACCTATGGGACCATCAATTAATGACAATATGTCCATGCAAATTATACCTTCACCTCATGCAATAAAAAATCTTAAAATTAGGAGGTATAAAACTACGTTGAGTACAAAATTATTTGTTCTATATTATGCTACAATGACATTTGGAATAGACCATCTATTATAATAGATAAATCATTTGCATTCATGATTGTAGAAGCTCTTTCTTAGAAAAAAGAGGATCTTGAAGCTCAAACCATCCTAAAAGCAATGTGTTGCTCTTATTGGTTAAAATAAAAAAATACCATCAAGGTGGAGTATGATTCTTTGCCTGAGAGAAAAGTCTTTAGTCCAATTTTAGACACTCTTACTTCTTGCCTTGTAGGATATAAGATAGTATTAATATGCAAGCAAGATGCTAAGGGTCAAATAACCTGCTATAAAGCTCGTCTTTTTGCCCAAGTATTTATCCAACAATTTGGCATTCATTATAAATCCATATATTTTCCAGTCATGAATTTAATTATATTTCAATATATTATTGAAATGGCAACTCATGCCACCTTTAAGATGCATCTTATAGATGTGGTAAGTGCATATTTATATGGTTTTTTTGATTCAAATATTTATATATAAGTTCCACTTAGTTTAAAAGCAAGAACTCTAAATACACCTACTTCAAGATAATATCATGGTATTAAAATTCACAAGGCCTTGAATGATCTAAAATAATTTGGATCCATGTGGTATTAACATCTTAAAGATTATTTAATTATAAATAAGTTTATAAATGATCTACTAATTCCTTGTTTGTTTATCCAACAAGATAAAATTGGATTTGTGATCATCACTATGTATGTTGATGATTTTAATCTAATGGATATTAGATCTACATGCATTGCAACTATTAATCTTGTTATCTGTGAATTTGAGTTGAAAATGCTAGAAAAAATAACTTTTTGCATTGGTTTTCAGATTATGTATCTCACAAATGGTAGCATTTTTTTTCTATTAATTAACATATATTAAACAAATCTTACAAAAATTCAATATGATTGATGCTTATCCATTGCCAACACCAATGGTTGGACATGGTCGTGATAGCCATGATTCATATTATCTATGCAAGGAAGAGGAAGAAATATTGGGAGAGCAATATCCATATCTCACAGCAATTGGAGCACTTTTATATTTAGCCACATCTATAAGACCACATATTGCATTTGTAATTAGTGTTCTTGTAAGACACAATGTACATCCAATATTACGACATTGAAATGGCATCAAATATTTATTACATTATTTAAAAGGCACTAAAGATTTGGAATTATACTACACACAATCTGCAAATCTAAAATTGGTTGAATATTTTGGTACAGGATATAAATCTAATATTGCAACAATTAAATCTCAAATAGGCTATATATTCTTAAGACATAGAGCTGTAATATAATAGAAATCAGTGAAACAAATTATAATTGCAACTTCATCCAACCATGTAGAAATCATTGTCTTACATGAAGCATCTTGGGAATGTATCTGGTTGTAATCAATTGATAAACTCATTTAGACAATCTTTAGACTTTCTTATGATGATTCTCTAACTATCTTGTATAAGGACAATAGTACTTATGTTACACAAATTCAAGTTGGTTTCATTAAAGGCAATAGGAAAAAGTATATTAATCCAAAGTATTTTAATTATACCTATGATTTAATTACCGATCAACTACTTAAGATTAAGAAAATCAAATCTGCATATTACCTTGCTGGTCTCCTCACCAAAGTTCTCTATTTGTACAGCCATCACTAACTTACTTATGGCATTAGCATGCGGCAACTTGGTTTTCTTGAGGAAGAAAGTTAATGAACTCTTAAAATAATATTGTATTCTTTTTTTTTCATCTATGGTTTTGTCCTCAAATACAATAAGATTCTCTTAAATAAGGTTCTAATGATATATCAATTATTGATCTTACGAGAAGACATAAAAGTATAGATCATAATTCTATGTATATAAATATTATGACAAGCAAGGAAGAATATTGAGATCATAAAATGTAGTCGGCACTCTCAATACTATTTATTGTAGTGTATAGTAAATACTGTGGCTATAGTGTTTGGAATGAAATGGGAGAAACTATTTATCTTCTTCTTCTCCTCTTTGTATAAGTGAGATAGCCATATAAATAAAACTCTCTTGTGTGTGTTTTACATGTGTGTGCACATTACTTCTAACTACTCTTATCTCTCTCTAAAACATTCTTAACAAATTCAAAGCAACTCGCAGCTCATAGCAAATTCCAAGGTTGTCTAAGGAGGAAACTTAAGTATTCAATTTAAAAATGCAGATCACAGTACAACAATCAGTGCTTCAACGCCATGATAGCAAGAATCAAGCTAGAAGGCCATTCACGCCTTGAGGACCCACGGCTACTCACTCTTATTCTCTTAATGCGCACGCATTACAGAATCATGATACTGTCACTTTACTGAAGCATTTGCCCATTGTAATTTGCGATCACTGGCAATCCATACTATTGAGAGCATACTTGAATTTTGTGTATCAAAGAGCAGCAAGGAGCTTCGCATAAGGCAGTGCAATTTCGATACTTCTAACCTCGACTTAGTATATGGCTACTAAGTGCCAACCCTAATAAAGTTCAGACGAATCTAAAATGTTCACAATGTCACATCAACATGCTACGTGAGCACAAGAAATAGATTTTCGGCAATTGTATGAGCTTCAGCATATAAACTCTAATCTTTTTCGTAGTGAAAAAAATAATAATGGATAAAAAATAAAGTCATGAAACTATCCTTTGAAAATCCATGCACAAATAAAACTGTAATAGGAGTACAATAAGAATACTAACGAATTATACAGATTATATTAATTTCAAGACAGCAGAGAAGTTCACACTGAGATCTACGTTCCATATTCGTATCCGTACCCACACAATAAATACAAATACGATACCAACACCCATCCATACGACGTGGTATTATACGGAGAGTTCTTAAGAACTAAACGGCGAATCCGATTTCCAGCTGCAATTGGCTTCGTTTCGTGTCGCTCGTTGTGACCCGTGAGACAACTTTGTTACATCGCTAGGGTTTCGCCATATCCGCCAATTTCCCACCTCCATTCTCGTCTTCTTCTTCTTCTTCTTCTTCTTCTCCTCCTCCACGCATTTTTTTTTGGTGTGTATAGAACAGATATCGCAATGTCGTGGGAGGCCATGCTGCCCATGGGCATCATCTCCGCCATGATTTTTGTCATGGGGACGTCTCAGTACGTGGTTCACACGTCCATCTACGGCAAGGTGAAGCGATTTCTCCTCTGGGATTTGTGATTCTCCGGGAGTTTGAGGTTGAGATCTGACGAGATTGAGCAAGGAGGAGTGTTTTTTTTTTTTTTTTTTTTTTTTTAATTCGCTGCCTTGAAGCTCTGTGTGATTTTCTAGTTGGTTGACCTAGTTGTAGAATTTGTGGACAGCCAAAGCATCCCAGACATGATGCATGGGACCGGGCGATGGACGAAAGAGATGCTCGATTGAAAGAGGAGTACGAAAAATCTCAGGTTAGGGCTTGTTTTGTTTGTATTTCTGCAGACGATGTTCCTTTGTGAGAGAGTTTCCGGTTGTCATGGATCTTGAGGACTTACCTTCGGGTTCGGTTGGTTCCGAACGAAATCCTTCCCGTATCGAGAACGAATTCATGTGGAAACTTTGTAGGCGAACATTGATGTTGTCCTTAAAGTGAATCTTCCGTCCTTTTGGAAGTGGTGATAGAGAGCGGGCTGGAACTGGGGTTTGGCGTTTTCTGAGCGTGTAGGAATTTTTGGAGAGAGGCTTCACTTGGAAACAAGAATTAACTGTTAATCTCTCTGAACGACCGTAAACATTTCGGTTCTCCTTAGTTATCCGCGGGTGCTAATTTCTGTGACTTGAATATACTTGAAGAATTAGATGAGAATTTATGGAGAGTCGGGAATTTGTGGAAATCATCAAGGGATAGTGCATAGAAATTCGCCGAATGCACTGTGGCTAGACGCGTTTTATATTTGTTTATGTTTTTTATTTTATTTTTGTCGTTTATTTGTTGAAGTGCACCCTTGTGTCTTGGTAGTTTTGTGTTGAATCAACAGAAAGAGGGTTTTGGTTTTCAATGAGGACATGATTTTGTGGATTTTTATACCATTGACACAAGTAGTCTGAGGACGCATTGTCTTTGCGTGAAGGAAATGAATTGTTAGTGAGGGGGTGAAGAGTGCATCCAATGTGACAATTGCAGCTGGCTAGTCGTCAGGGTCATATTATGTATCGAGTAATGTGGAAAGAATATGACGATTTTCTCTTGACGTGTGCTCTTGCAGAAGTAGCCACTTTTTCAGCTTGTGTGAGAGGCATTCGGCGAGTTACGATGCAAAGCTTATTGCACATTGTATGCTTCAGCAGCTTGACGAGCTTCTGCATTGTGTTGCATTGGGAACTTTGCATGCATGCTGAGTAGTTACTTTTGACACGATACATCCTTGCCTCAAGGTTTTCATCACGTTTTCCTGTCTGGTGCTCGAAGGAGTTCAATGGGTTGAAAGAAATAATGTATTGATATTGTTAGGCTTCCATGTGTGTCCGTCTTCCGAGGTGGAGGTCACACGACATGCTTGAAAGCTTTTGAAATGATTGGTCCTTTGAAACGTCCAGTGTCGAATATATGTTCACTGTGTCTATTTACATTTCCATGTCAAACAGGACTGTTTGTTGTGAATGAATGAGTTGATTTGGCAAGAAGCTAAGTTGTTTATTGAACCATAGACAACTTGGATTATTAAAGGAACTGTAATAGAGTTGTGGTGAGTAGTGAATTCTACGTGTTCATTGAGAAAAATGGTTGAAAAGGCAAACGAATTTTTGTGGGTGGTGCATATTTGAACGTAGTGTCATGCTCTGAAATAGCCTGTACGCCTGAAGAAGCCCACGTAGTTGACAGGCTTATTATTCTATCTTCTGAGTTGTGTTTGCGTCAAGTCGGCTTCAGAACGACCATTGGTAAACAGTATGTAGCGAAGATGTTCGAAGGGGATTAGAACTGTAGGGGACCAGGACGACGGTGGAACCAGACTGACAGTAGTCATCGTCACTGCAAGGTCATGGGCATAGTTCATGCTTTCTAATCACTTTTGTCAGCTTATTTGATGTTTTTGCTCTCCTTAAATCAACTCATTCATACTTTCAGCTTCATTCGAGAAGGAATAGATGTTGTGAACCTGGAAGTCAGTGGGTCTAGTAAAGATGGATTGAAAGAATCACATTCGGAGCTCTGAGAACGAATACTATCTGCATGGAAACGCGTGATCTACTGGTGGCTGTGATTAGGATCATTTCGCAGGAGGGAATAGTTTGCTTTTGGGCTCCACATTCGGAAGAGCTTTCACGCACTGAAGGGAAAGGCTTGTAACCGTCTTGTGTTTCTGAAACGTTCGTGAATATTTCACATTCGCCTTTAGTAGTGGACGGTGAGTGCATGTGCTCCGATTGCAACCGTGACTCGTCTCCTAATCTGTGTCACCGGGTGCTGAAAAACCTTATCTGAGAGTGCAATTGGCTGATGTGCGGGAACCCCAGTTTCTTCGAGTTAACAGATGTTTGGGAGCTTGATTCTACCCCCAGCCACTGCAACAACCAGATTTCTGAATGGCGTCAATGGAACTCATACTAGAGTTCAATACTACTTTCTTCAATACTTATTCTTAGTTGTGGAACTCTTTTGTTGTATTTTTTGGACATGAGAAATTTCTAGTATATTTTTTTAAGGACATGTAATGAAGATCCTACTCTATAATCTTAATGCATTCTTGATGTTTGTTACCAGATACATTATTTACTGAAAACCTTTCTTTTTGATCAAATAATACAAGTATTCATAGAAATAAAAATATAATTATGTAATGGTTTACCAAGAAATATACCACTATCAAGATTTTGCTGTGCAAAGCAAGATTTATAGTTTTTATGAATACTTCTGTAGAAATTTAACCTTTCTTTGGACTATTGTACAATTATTATTTTTTTCTAAATTTGATTTGGGATAACTACATACATTTCATTAAAAAAAAATTAAAGTTAAATGTACTATAGGTTTTCTAGACATTAGAATAAAGAATATCTTTCTTTGAGGGGATAAGGAAAAAAAGAAAAAAGAAAAATGCAATTTAGTAATTACAGTTGAAAATATATTGAAATATGCATATTTATTGAGATGTTAATGGAGAGTAAATTTATTATTTGCAATACTTTTAGAACTTAGGTGTGAATTTGGTGACATTCTTTTTAATTTGAATACCTTTGTTATTTGATATAAGAAATAGAATCTACAAACGATTTCTATTTTATTTATTTTTGCCTTTCAAAATCACATAAATATTTTGTTAATAATTCTTTAAAAAAATCTTGTCAAAGTTACAAAGGTTATGACATGTGATTTAAAAAATCCTTAATTTAAATTAAAATGTGCTTATACATACATACATATATATATATATATATATATAATACATATAGAATTGATATACTAATAATCAAATATAATACACAATTTGAAAAATTATTTATATTCGTTATTATTATTTTTTAGTTTATAAATATAATAAATGTATGATAAATTATAAATTTGAGGACAATCAAATCAATTACAATTACAAAAAATATAGCATACATAAATACATATATAACAGAATGTATCCATATTTATCATAAAACACACTGGAATGATTTTATATTAGAACAAACATGCTTACAATATATACATTCATGTATATACATATATATATATATATATATATATATATATATATTCATGCATATAAATGGCCTTTAATTACAAATGCAAGCCTCTCGGCACAACGCACACATCCAAAATGAAACTTTGATTTTAAACTAGTGTGTAGTTACTGTACGTTCCAAAGGAATACAATACATGGATTGCGTACGAATGGCTCAGGAAGACCAGCTCAGCACTCTACTTGTCCAACTCAGCATGTCGTCCAACGCTTTCACACCCCTCACATGAATGAAGAAGGGGTCCTTAACCCAGGAACCTAATTCTACTTCAGGGTTTAGGGTTTAGCATAGCCTCCTTGGTCGCGCTGCCCTTGAATCCCCTCGCTTGTCCTTGAATTCCCTCGCCTGTCCTTGAATCCCCTCGCTTGTCCTTGAATCCCCTCGCTTGTCCTTGAATCCGATTTTCGTGAGGCACCTCAAGTTTGCGACTTTCGGCGTGTTCTCGATTTTGCCCTCTGTAGTAAGAATTTTGAGAACGAGCATGTGATGGGAATTTCGGGGAGGAAGACGGGTAATTCGGGAGTTGTTTTGAGGTGATTGAAGTCGGCAGGGACGGTGAAGAGAGAAGAGACGAGGGGCGGTCTGTTGTGAAGCCGTGGTGCCTGAAGGCCACAGAGTTCCCAGTGTTTTCAGCGGCGCAGTTTATTATCATGGCGAGCGTAACGAAGCCCAGGGGCCCTGGACACCATAAGAAAAAGCGAAAGGAGACGGGGCCTGAGAAACATGAACTTGGTCTAGCTGAGCAAATGGAGCAGAACCTTGAGGCTGCGCCGCCTAAGCGCAGAAATCCAAGGAACCGTAGCCGACAGCAACCGACTGATGAGGTGCGAAATGCTTTTAGTACTGATCTGCGTCGATTTTGCGGGAGCCTAATGTTATGTTGAGGCAGCGTTATCTCGTCGCGCCACTCGCTTGCGAAGTTCAATGTCAGGAGTAACTTCTCACCGGTTATGGCCTCTTTAAGCTGGTTTTTTTGTTCATCTCCTGTAGGATATTGTGTTTTTGTTCTCACCGCCGGTAAATGCATTTGTGTGTTTGGTTGCAGTATGTGACTCCAATGATGAGTAATAAAATTCTCAGCGAAGCACGGATGCAGCAGTTGGAAATTGATAACGAAAGGTAATCCTTGTCTTGATTTTTTGCCCTGGTAGACAGTCAGGCAGAGGTAACAAGTATCTGGTGGACAACTCAAGGTTGTTTTTAGTGTATTGCATCTGATTTTAATTTGGAAATTGTGATTATATTTTTGTCTATTTCCAGGCTCTGGAAAGTTGGATGGAATAAGAGCACATTGTTAAGCTGGCTTTCAGAATATTTCATGAAAGTTACACCTGGTTTGAATTTGTGAGATCTAAGAATGTATCATAATTCAGGGATGAAGAGACTGGTGTAGCAGCAACTAGAAGAGCCTTCTCTGCTGCTGTGCCAGATCAAAGGATGGATAGCGATAGCGATGACGAGGAGGGATTTTCTGATGGAGAAGAGCAAGCTGAAGAATTTGAAGTAAATTTCTACTATCTGTTAGGAATATCATATTGGAACGTTGAATCTATTGGTTGTCTTGGGACCTTTATGTCTACATAGTTGGACATGGTGGTATAGATACAGCGGTTTTATCTTACATTGATGTGAAACTGTATCTCAGGAAGTGACAGAAGAAGATGAAAGAATCATGTTGAAGTTTATGGCCTCTGATGCAACCCCACAACGAACATTAGCTGACATTATAATGGAGCGGATTAATGACATGGGCGGGAATGGAATGACTGCTGTTGAAACAGAAGGTTAGCTACATTTCTTGGTTAAACGTTTTAAACATTTACGCGCGAAAACACTATTTGGCGTTTGCCGAATGTGTTCAGACGAGTGTATTTCGAGAAGTAGTGCTGGTTAGGAGGGTGTTATATGAACAATTTTCTTCGATTGAAAACTTATTGAAATTTCCTTTGCTTGTTGCAATGCAGGTGAAGGCCGAACAATTCCAGGCGTAGATAGCAAAGTCATAGAGGTTTACCAAGGGTACATTTTCTTTCTACTCTATCTTCAGTAGATATGTGCTAGCTATGCGCTATATTTCAGCTATCAAACGCTGGCACGTATGTTGAGATGGTTTTCTGTGCTCTCTTATTATCAGTTTATTATAGTTTCATGTTTTATGAGACTTTCGCCTTCAATTGTGTCCTTGGTACCGAACAAACATCAATTACGTTAATTACTTATTTTGGTTGTACAGGGTAGGCAAGTTTCTGAGTAGGTACAGAGCAGGCAAGTTACCCAAGGCTTTCAAGATAATTCCTTCACTTTCCAATTGGGAGGACGTGCTATTTCTTACAGAGCCAGAGAAATGGTCTCCAAATGCCATGTACCAGGCCACTCGAGTTTTTGCCTCCAACTTGAATGCTCGTATGGCTCAACGCTTTTATAGTCTGGTACTTTTACCAAGAATCCGGAACGACATCAGGGTGCATAAGAGACTTCACTTCGCACTTTATCAAGCTATGAAAAAGGCTGTCTACAAGCCCTCAGCATTTTACAAAGGCCTATTGCTACCCCTTTGCCAGGTAATGTTATGGTTATGTTGCATATATATTATTAAATTTCTTAGAGTCTCACCCCAAAGGCATTTTCGTTTTTTGAAGTTCTTGATGGATGCTCCTAAAGTGCGTTTATCTCAATGACCAGTAGCTGAAGTTTACAATGCCAAAAGTCACGGTCATGGGCTTAAACGTTTCTGAATGCTTCCGTGTTGTCATGTGCATACTAAAGATTCTATGTCAGTTACATGTGTTAGCTTCTTGTTCCTTGCAGACCCGAACATGTAACTTGCGTGAGGCTGTTATTATAGGAAGTGTACTTCAAAAGGTTTCTATTCCTGTTTTACATTCCAGGTTAGATAAGATCTATCGCATATCAACTTTTTTTTTTTTTTTTTTTCGTTTGTTGTGAGCATTAGTCACCATTGTACCTAAGTGAAATTTTACAAGCATGTAAAGGATTGTAGCAAGCCCCACGGATATGGTGACGTCCTTCGATTCTGAGTCAATTTTGGAATCTCGCTGTTGAGCAATTTGCAGAGTGATCTATGTTGATGTTTAATGGCGTTTCGCAAACGGCACTTGCAATGTGAGAATGTAGGTTTGAACATAAAACGTAGATAGAATATTCAAATTTGACTTGGGTGAGGATGGTCATTCAATATGTGGTCTGCTTGTTTGAACAGTGTTGCACTTTTGAAAATCGCTGAGATGGAGTATTGTGGCACGAACAGGTACATTTTTTCCTTAAACTAGGATTGTATTTGGAATGGTGATCGGTGCCCCTTTCTGGTCAAATGCAGCATGAAAAAATTTCTTAATGCCAAACTAAACTTAGTAATTTGGTTTGTTCCTTGGTGCTGTTGCTACTAATACTGTCTGAGTGACAGTTTTAATGCTGGCCTTGAAACTGATGTAAGATATTTGTCATAGAAGCCAAGGAATGCTAAGAGACCAATGCGGAACCACAGTTCTTGACTAAAGCAGTGTATGGTTAGACATGCACATGCTCGTGTTTGGAAGAATTTAAGAACATTATTTACATCCTTGCTTATAACTAAGCACTCTGTTTCAATTGTATTGCAGTTATTTCCTCAAGCTTTTATTGGACAAGAAATATGCTCTCCCGTACAGAGTTCTGGACGCAGTTTTGTATCATTTTGTGAGTTTCGTTGAGGATGAACGTGACCTTCCTGTTATTTGGCACCAATCCCTGCTCACATTTGTTCAACGGTAATATTTTGAACATTATATTTGGTTTGGTGCTCAATAGGTTGGATTTTTAAACTTGGTTTCGCTATGCATGGTCTTCCTCGTTTTAAATCTTCAGTATGGTGAATATAGTATGTTGGATATTTTGGGTTTATTTTAATTTGTATTGTGGAAGATTGTATGCTCGGAGACACGGTACTTATCGTAATGGCGCGCTACGCACTAAGCTAGAGTCGAAACCATTTTTGTAGCTACACAACCGTGAATTGTGACCCTTAAGTCCTGCACCCTTAGGCTTCACATCTTCACACACATCATTGCAGGTATAAGAACGAGTTGAGTGAGGAGGACAAGGAGAAGCTGAAACAGTTGATGCGGAAGCAAAAGCATTATCTGGTATCTTATTTTCCGCTTTTTACCTACGAATGTAGAGATCATAGTCTATGGGGCTATTAAAGTTCTCTCCGACGTTTTAGCTTGTCATGCAGTAAACTTTCACACGCATACGGAAAAATTAGAATTGAAGAAATTTGTTTTCTGTTATTCCTAATCGAAGGTTGGACTGCGTTTTTACATTGTGCAGGTTACTCCTGAGATTCATAGAGAGTTACTTAATAGTCGAAATCGAGGTCAGAAAGACGACCATATGACAACAGTTCCCATGAAGATTGAAAAAGCTGTTGTCGAAGAAGATATGTGGAATCTACCAGAAGTTCAGATAGGCATGGATGAAGACTAAATCATCGATGTGTAAACCGAGTACGGAGCGAGTGTGAGCTTTCGTTCGTGCTCGGAATTGTGATAATGAGTTGGCTGTCAACCAGCCAGTTAGAATAGAAGAAGACGGTTTCTGCTTCTTTTAGTGTTTTTCCCACCAGCAGGCGGAGGGCACATCCCAAATTCATGTCCTTATCAATGTTACAGCACGCAATTGTGAGAATTTCTCATTTTTTATTTTCTTTGTTAAAAGTCTTCATATATTCCTCGCTCAAAATATTCCGACCTGCGTTCCGTTGCATGAGCGATTCTAGATGCCATGCACTGCACTGCATCACCATTGAAGAGTTGTAGCATGAGCGCGGAAATAGCAATACTCATTGTAATCTACTACTCAACCTACGGCCAAGTGCTAGAAAGTTTACTTGATGCCAAGTTAAACTAAATTACTTGCAGCACTTCATGCTGCTGCTGGCGATGCTGACACGCTCACCTGGGTCTCTGATAACTACAACCTCCTCGTAGTCCGTTACTCCCAACAATTCTATGTTAACACGGTCAAAGTGCCGGTAGTTGCCAGCCAGTAGTGACTGGCACTTCGCGCGTTGACGCGAGGTCGGATTATTGGACGGAAATGCCTACTTTATCGTGGCGCTGGTCGGCAGGACAAGCCGGGATAGAATCTTTTTCCGGCCCTCTTAATTACCGCATCTGCCCAGATTTATGTTCTATACAGTCCTCTCTTAGGGCCCAGGATTCCACTTCACAAGTACTACGTAAACCATACCTGGCCTGAGAGAACCCTCAAAACTTTGACGTCCTTTCGTACATTGTCACGCTCTATCTCTTGTCTCCACTCAGGTCAATGCTTCCGAGCTTAACAAACTTGTCTTCGCTTTCTGCACAAGGCTTGGTGGGAAAGATATTGTTCTCATTAATAGTGTAGATCGAATCCCGATCTGCCAAACCGAAATGCAGTGCCATCAGTTTTGCAACTGTTCTGCCCGTGATGATTCCTATACGTGAATCCCGATGTGAACACCAACGAAACCCCATCGATTTGTACTCCTCTACCAACAGAAGCATGTTCTTCATCTGCTCAGTGCCTTCATGGCATCGCACTCATGTATTCTGGCTTTCAACAGAAACACATACTTCGAAAGCTGTTGAGCGGAGGAAATTGCAGTTGTCCTCTCATGTAAATACCGAGATACCCGTTAGCAGTTCGCAGCGAAAATTGAAGAAAAAAGTTATCAAACTCAAGCGATAGTTTGACTGAAGCTATTCAGAAATCTGGCTGTAGCCATGCGTAGAATCAAGCTCCCAAACATCTGTTAACTCGAAGAAACTGGGGTTCCCGCACATCAGCCAATTGCACTCTCAGATAAGGTTTTTCAGCACCCGGTGACACAGATTAGGAGACGAGTCACGGTTGCAATCGGAGCACATGCACTCACCGTCCACTACTAAAGGCGAATGTGAAATATTCACGAACGTTTCAGAAACACAAGACGGTTACAAGCCTTTCCCTTCAGTGCGTGAAAGCTCTTCCGAATGTGGAGCCCAAAAGCAAACTATTCCCTCCTGCGAAATGATCCTAATCACAGCCACCAGTAGATCACGCGTTTCCATGCAGATAGTATTCGTTCTCAGAGCTCCGAATGTGATTCTTTCAATCCATCTTTACTAGACCCACTGACTTCCAGGTTCACAACATCTATTCCTTCTCGAATGAAGCTGAAAGTATGAATGAGTTGATTTAAGGAGAGCAAAAACATCAAATAAGCTGACAAAAGTGATTAGAAAGCATGAACTATGCCCATGACCTTGCAGTGACGATGACTACTGTCAGTCTGGTTCCACCGTCGTCCTGGTCCCCTACAGTTCTAATCCCCTTCGAACATCTTCGCTACATACTGTTTACCAATGGTCGTTCTGAAGCCGACTTGACGCAAACACAACTCAGAAGATAGAATAATAAGCCTGTCAACTACGTGGGCTTCTTCAGGCGTACAGGCTATTTCAGAGCATGACACTACGTTCAAATATGCACCACCCACAAAAATTCGTTTGCCTTTTCAACCATTTTTCTCAATGAACACGTAGAATTCACTACTCACCACAACTCTATTACAGTTCCTTTAATAATCCAAGTTGTCTATGGTTCAATAAACAACTTAGCTTCTTGCCAAATCAACTCATTCATTCACAACAAACAGTCCTGTTTGACATGGAAATGTAAATAGACACAGTGAACATATATTCGACACTGGACGTTTCAAAGGACCAATCATTTCAAAAGCTTTCAAGCATGTCGTGTGAACCTCCACCTCGGAAGACGGACACACATGGAAGCCTAACAATATCAATACATTATTTCTTTCAACCCATTGAACTCCTTCGAGCACCAGACAGGAAAACGTGATGAAAACCTTGAGGCAAGGATGTATCGTGTCAAAAGTAACTACTCAGCATGCATGCAAAGTTCCCAATGCAACACAATGCAGAAGCTCGTCAAGCTGCTGAAGCATACAATGTGCAATAAGCTTTGCATCGTAACTCGCCGAATGCCTCTCACACAAGCTGAAAAAGTGGCTACTTCTGCAAGAGCACACGTCAAGAGAAAATCGTCATATTCTTTCCACATTACTCGATACATAATATGACCCTGACGACTAGCCAGCTGCAATTGTCACATTGGATGCACTCTTCACCCCCTCACTAACAATTCATTTCCTTCACGCAAAGACAATGCGTCCTCAGACTACTTGTGTCAATGGTATAAAAATCCACAAAATCATGTCCTCATTGAAAACCAAAACCCTCTTTCTGTTGATTCAACACAAAACTACCAAGACACAAGGGTGCACTTCAACAAATAAACGACAAAAATAAAATAAAAAACATAAACAAATATAAAACGCGTCTAGCCACAGTGCATTCGGCGAATTTCTATGCACTATCCCTTGATGATTTCCACAAATTCCCGACTCTCCATAAATTCTCATCTAATTCTTCAAGTATATTCAAGTCACAGAAATTAGCACCCGCGGATAACTAAGGAGAACCGAAATGTTTACGGTCGTTCAGAGAGATTAACAGTTAATTCTTGTTTCCAAGTGAAGCCTCTCTCCAAAAATTCCTACACGCTCAGAAAACGCCAAACCCCAGTTCCAGCCCGCTCTCTATCACCACTTCCAAAAGGACGGAAGATTCACTTTAAGGACAACATCAATGTTCGCCTACAAAGTTTCCACATGAATTCGTTCTCGATACGGGAAGGATTTCGTTCGGAACCAACCGAACCCGAAGGTAAGTCCTCAAGATCCATGACAACCGGAAACTCTCTCACAAAGGAACATCGTCTGCAGAAATACAAACAAAACAAGCCCTAACCTGAGATTTTTCGTACTCCTCTTTCAATCGAGCATCTCTTTCGTCCATCGCCCGGTCCCATGCATCATGTCTGGGATGCTTTGGCTGTCCACAAATTCTACAACTAGGTCAACCAACTAGAAAATCACACAGAGCTTCAAGGCAGCGAATTAAAAAAAAAAAAAAAAAAAAAAAAACACTCCTCCTTGCTCAATCTCGTCAGATCTCAACCTCAAACTCCCGGAGAATCACAAATCCCAGAGGAGAAATCGCTTCACCTTGCCGTAGATGGACGTGTGAACCACGTACTGAGACGTCCCCATGACAAAAATCATGGCGGAGATGATGCCCATGGGCAGCATGGCCTCCCACGACATTGCGATATCTGTTCTATACACACCAAAAAAAAATGCGTGGAGGAGGAGAAGAAGAAGAAGAAGAAGAAGAAGACGAGAATGGAGGTGGGAAATTGGCGGATATGGCGAAACCCTAGCGATGTAACAAAGTTGTCTCACGGGTCACAACGAGCGACACGAAACGAAGCCAATTGCAGCTGGAAATCGGATTCGCCGTTTAGTTCTTAAGAACTCTCCGTATAATACCACGTCGTATGGATGGGTGTTGGTATCGTATTTGTATTTATTGTGTGGGTACGGATACGAATATGGAACGTAGATCTCAGTGTGAACTTCTCTGCTGTCTTGAAATTAATATAATCTGTATAATTCGTTAGTATTCTTATTGTACTCCTATTACAGTTTTATTTGTGCATGGATTTTCAAAGGATAGTTTCATGACTTTATTTTTTATCCATTATTATTTTTTTCACTACGAAAAAGATTAGAGTTTATATGCTGAAGCTCATACAATTGCCGAAAATCTATTTCTTGTGCTCACGTAGCATGTTGATGTGACATTGTGAACATTTTAGATTCGTCTGAACTTTATTAGGGTTGGCACTTAGTAGCCATATACTAAGTCGAGGTTAGAAGTATCGAAATTGCACTGCCTTATGCGAAGCTCCTTGCTGCTCTTTGATACACAAAATTCAAGTATGCTCTCAATAGTATGGATTGCCAGTGATCGCAAATTACAATGGGCAAATGCTTCAGTAAAGTGACAGTATCATGATTCTGTAATGCGTGCGCATTAAGAGAATAAGAGTGAGTAGCCGTGGGTCCTCAAGGCGTGAATGGCCTTCTAGCTTGATTCTTGCTATCATGGCGTTGAAGCACTGATTGTTGTACTGTGATCTGCATTTTTAAATTGAATACTTAAGTTTCCTCCTTAGACAACCTTGGAATTTGCTATGAGCTGCGAGTTGCTTTGAATTTGTTAAGAATGTTTTAGAGAGAGATAAGAGTAGTTAGAAGTAATGTGCACACACATGTAAAACACACACAAGAGAGTTTTATTTATATGGCTATCTCACTTATACAAAGAGGAGAAGAAGAAGATAAATAGTTTCTCCCATTTCATTCCAAACACTATAGCCACAGTATTTACTATACACTACAATAAATAGTATTGAGAGTGCCGACTACATTTTATGATCTCAATATTCTTCCTTGCTTGTCATAATATTTATATACATAGAATTATGATCTATACTTTTATGTCTTCTCGTAAGATCAATAATTGATATATCATTAGAACCTTATTTAAGAGAATCTTATTGTATTTGAGGACAAAACCATAGATGAAAAAAAAAGAATACAATATTATTTTAAGAGTTCATTAACTTTCTTCCTCAAGAAAACCAAGTTGCCGCATGCTAATGCCATAAGTAAGTTAGTGATGGCTGTACAAATAGAGAACTTTGGTGAGGAGACCAGCAAGGTAATATGCAGATTTGATTTTCTTAATC